ATGCATCTTTGTGTATTAAGTATTAGTAAAATACCTAATACACAAAGATGGACTCGATTAATAATATTATTAGTAATCTCAATACTTTTTTCAAGTTCTTCTCGACTCCATCGCCATATTTTGTCTTTGTATTTATAGTTTTAAAACCAACAAGTGATATAACATTTTATCGGTCTCTACAGGGAACATAACTTAAATGTTTCTTTCCTTTTTAAAGTCTATCAGACCCTTTTTAAATTATTTCTATCTGAAAATATCACCCATTTCTCCGAAAATTGCCATAATCTAATCGAACTCTTAAAGTCTACTGAACAAAGCTTAACACCCCTTTCAGAGCTTTCGGTTGTATTTATTGAACTTATTAGGTATACGTTATTATTACATTATTATTTTGTAATTAGCACTACTTGTATAAGAAACAAAAAAGAATAATCTACAGTTACATAATGTATATATCATATCAAACATTAATATACAAATTAAAAACAAAAACTAAACATAATATTGCCTATATGAAACATCATACACATATATGGAAAATTGACATGGTCGTAAAAATTATACAGATTCACAAAAAAGTAATAAAATAACCATTTAAATCTAAATTAAAATGTATTTTTAAAAGCTATTTTAATAAGCGTTAAGATTTTTTATTAAGCTTGTTGCAAGGAATTTAATTTTTATTGATTTATTTAAACAGCCTCTTTTCGATAAATATAATATTTTTTTATTTTTTTCTTAATATCCAAATTCTTTGTAACCCCCATAGCTGGTGTTGTCGTGCAAACCCTTGTAGTAATTCTTGAACCATCCTACACCCCTTTCTTTGCATTTTGTTTGCAGGTTTGCATATTCCTCACTTTCATCTGTCGCAGCTTCTAGGCGAGAATATCCACCATTACGAGGATTTTTAGGCGCTGGTGACCTTTTGGTGTTTAAGCTCTAATCATTAAAAAATAAATTTAATAAAAGTTTTGTGTATTAATTTGCAAAAGCTTTTTTTGGATTTATTCACACAAGGATGAATGAATACTTTGTGCAGACAAGTAAAATTTACAAAAGTTTTATCTTATGATATAGCAGTATTAGCAAGGAGGAGTTAGAGATAGCTTTAAATAAAATAGAAGCGGTATTGACAACATAGTACTTTATGAAAATAAATAAAAGTAAAACAAAAATACTGGTATGCAAGGGAAGGAAAAGTAGGGAAAGGGCGAATATAAAGATAAAAGACGAAAAATTAGAAGAAGTGGCCGATTTTATGTATCTAGGCAGTCAGATAAGTCAGGACAGAAGGAGTAGTAGGGATATAAAGCAAAGGATAGCGCAGGGTCGTGTCACTGTGTCATATTGTCACCTGAAAGTCTTAAATTTGGGAAGAATGAAGTTTCGCTCGCCTTTGGCTTGCTTCGTCCTAATTATACTATATATCTATATCCGTATTAGATAGACACATGATTGACATTTTCTTAAACTCTAAAATTATGAAAAATCACACGGATCTAAAAATGTTTAAGGCTAGCGGCTGATTGACCATCGTTGACATAGTTCATAGAAGTCTCATCATTAGTCATGTTTATTTGCTGTTATTATGTTTTAACAATACAAAAATATTTTAAACATTTACTGATTTTTAAAATTCTTTATCGCTCAATATTTATTTGAAAACTGCACGTTTTATCAATTTACGAAAAAGACGCATATTATTGAAACATTTGGATAGCATTAAGGTTATCATTGACTGTATTACTTNTTTTTTGATAACGAATTTACCTAATTAGCAAATCGTGAAGATTATTTTTAGAAATACATATAAACTGTTTTTTCTATTTTTATTACACTGTTAACATACATCATCTTTGTTCAGATAATAATATCTGCATTCATAAATATGTAGCACTATTTTAAATAGAATTTATTATTTTTTCATGTTTCAGTTTAGTTTTACTAAATTAAAATATAAAGCAACTGAAAATATTCGTTGAGGGAGAGCAGTTTCTGTACTCTTATAGTAATCCTTAATTTTAATAGATTATTTCATTCTTTAAAGTTTGTGAATTTGTGATTTACATAAAATAAAAAATTGGCTTACTCTAATTTATCAAAACGAACATTTCTTAACGTAAATTTCATGATAGGTTTTACCTTCGGCTTCGCTCGCGTTGATGTCCTAAATACGTATTAAAGATCATCGACGACCACAAAAAGCTAATCTTTTCTGTCCCACGGGAACAGTACATTTTTCTGGATGAAAGGTACTTCATAGCTTTTCCTTTACCCATGACGATGTATGTACAAAATTTCATGATGTTCGCTTCAGTAGTTAAGGAGTGAAATGGTAACAAACAAACCAACTAACTCACATTAGCATCTATAATATTTGTCAGAGCTATGCTTCTTATTTTTAAGTTAAAATTGACGATAGTTATTATTGACGAAACGATTGTTGTAATTTAATGAATAATTAAATAAAAAATACCTTATAGTAAAATGTACAAACGTTGTACGTTGCACGCCAAATTAATATTGTGCAACTAGTTAAAAATTGGATCGTGATTTCGATGAAGAATAAAAATTCACTGTTTTATTCAAAACATTTACTGGAACTTCTATTCTAATCAATAAAACTAAATTTCAACGTCTAAATTAAAACTATCAAAATTCGTCCGACAATGGAAGCTATTTTGGATGGTTACTGGATGCAAAACTTACTTGTTTGAAGGATGAAATGTGAATGTCTTAATCTTAATGTACTATGAACTCTAACTATGAACAGGTAAACTGCTGAATATTATTGTAGCGGGGGTGAATAACTAGAAATTGAATATAATATAATACAGAATATGGAAAGCGCTATCATTAAATGTGAGCACAATCGTCATACAGCATTTCTTTCCAGTTTATAAGGGTTCTACGAATACCCAGGTAAAATGTAAACTGGTCCGGCTTCACTAACTTAGACACAAATTAAAAATATTTCATGTACAAAAAAAAAAAGAGAAAAACTTAGGACTTAACAGTAAAATACGATATATATACGCATCTATACCTAACAACAAATTAATAGTTTTTTTTTATATCTATTGTACCACATACCTTACTAATGGTGGAAGGAGGGTTCATATTGCTGAGTTTGCAAACACTGGGCAGCTAGACACTGACGCTTTTGATTTTGTTTTTGTTCTGACATGTTTCGCCACAAATATAAATGATAAAAAGTTTATAAACTTGGGCGAATCCGATTACGAGCCAACATCGATCCCATGTCATTCAGTTGAGAAATAAAACAAAAGTAGTAAACGATGTTCATTTTTCTTTTGGAAATATCCACAACTAACGGTAGAATTACTTGTTATTACTAAAATTGTATTTGTGTTTTGTTAAGTAGTTCATTGTCATATATACAATTATTTCCAAAATCGGTTACTGAAAATTCTTTTGGGTGGATTGCCACGCTGATGCTTCTGTGTCCCTTGATAAATTCTGCACTTTGTATACCAGTTTTCAACGTCCTTTTCGAATTTTATCAAGTCAACCTGTACGTGCATCTTTCTCACCGTTATGAAGGTATTGCAGGAATTAATTCACTGAATTCCTCGGTACGATCAATTGACATCTGTTTTCAATACCATCCTGCTTTTCAGTCGCTTCAGGAGAAAGAAACACATTGGGCTTTATCATGATTTCATTTCCGTAGTTTACTATTTTTTTTTCTAAACTCCAAGCATTGTCAGGACAAAGTCAGTTTTGTTTTGCCTTTATATTGCCATTCACGACTACTGAATTGCGACCTTCAAGGCCATGTGATGTTCAAGATAAGGTTTTGGGTTTTTTGAGACCAATAGTTGCAGCATCTTATTGGTCTCGGTGCCTTATTGACCTTATTTACTACTTGAAGGATATCCACTTCCAGTTTACCATCATTCGGCTTAACTAGCTCCTTTTGCAGCCTGTACCTTCTGTTTTGCTTTTGTGAAACCTGCTTCACAAATTCGTCAGGTTTTAATAGCGTTAAAAATCTCCTCAGCGCCATCACGCAAGATGCAACCGAATTATATCTTCGTATTGAACTTCGATGGTTTCGTGGGTATTTTATTACTTTTGATGGAACGGTATGTTCCTGTTTCACGTTAGGGATTACATTAGCAAATGCTAATCTTGATTTTCTACCGCTCTCTTCTGATATATTTACCTTCAAGAACTTTTCTTGCATTTCATCAATTTATCTATCCTGTTATTTAATTTGGAATTTAATTTTGTTTTCTGTTTTGGTCAATTTTCCGTCGAAATTCGAACATTTTCTCAGTAAGTTATTCTTCCTTGAATGAGTGCAACTTCACTTTTTATTCTTGTCACATCTCTTAGCTCATACTCAAACTGTAACCCCAGGGGAAAATAAATGCCGGTTATACATGGTGTCTATCGCGACCTAAAACAAATGTCTATGAAACATTGGACCATACGAGGAAACATGTAACCTAGATAAAAACCTCAAAATAATCCTTTTAACTTAGCGGACTTGATGAAAAATCATACCAGTTGTGATTGTTCTAGACCTTTAACAAAAACTAATTACCTTGATGTCAATAATTTATTATACAGCGTGCAATTTACAGATAATAAGTTGATATACAATGTATTTACGAATTTTTCTTGCTACATTCTGTGGAATGTTTCTTGAGATCTTCTTCGAAACCCTTTGCATTTTCACATTTTTATTCTATACCCTTTAAATTTTCATTCAGTTTCCTCCAGATTTTTATTTAATTTGTTTTGGAACTGTCCTGTTTTTAAATTTTTGCCGAATTTTTTTTCAACATTTTCTTTCAGCATTTTGGAATTTTGTTTAAAATTTTCTTTTAATTAAACATACCTACATACAATTTAGACAACTTTTAGAAGTGAGTTAGTTTAATATGCAATATTAATCTGAAAATTCATTTTTGAATTTTTTATCCATAAATATTCATATATTTGTCACACCCCCGCCCCTTATTAATTTGAGGTAGCGTGAAGTGGGTAAAAAATTCAAAAATGAATTTTCAGATTAATATTTCATATTTCTTTTAATTCTTCCTTCAATTTATTTCGTTCTTGTTCCCACTATCTTCAGATGCATACCCACGCCTCAATTGAGGGGGAAAACAATATTCACCCTTAATAAGTTGCAAGATCAATGACAACAATACTTACCACTCCTTCTCTCATTTTAGACGAATGATATTTATCTATTTACATACTTATTTATTTATATAATACACTGGAGAAGATTCCCTTTTTGTTCTCTTTGTTCGGTAAATTTAATTAGGATACATACAACCGTTTATTTATTATTTATGAATATAATTTATTATTTAACCTAATCCTGTATTTATCAATCAATTATTATATTACGAAACCGTCTAAAAATTATCTTATTTGTTATTTTTTCTTATTCAGTCTATAATACCAGTAGTAATTAAAGTATAACAAAAAAACTAGTAGAAATTATGTAATTATCAAGGGATGAAACGACGTCATGTGAGTATCGATACTTTCCCTTGGCAATTGTACTTAAAGAAAGGATCCATACTCCTTCTATATTGAATGACGAGTGGTGATACCTGATACCTATTAGTGTATCGATATTTTTTGATGAGTAGGTTGGATTAAAATTTAAATAACGCTAGTACAAAATAGTTGGGGGTTGGTAGTTATCCATAAATTATGTAACGCAAAATTCATCAATTTTTGACCCCCTTCATCATTGTAAAAGAACCGTAACGCACGGGTTGCTTCCTTCCTTCAAGCTTATGTCGTTTCGTAGCACTTGTACTGTAAAGATTCCTGAAACAAAGTGGACCCTAAATTGCGAGTAAAAATATTTTCGAAGCAAGCACGGACGTTTGTATTTTTAAAGTATATTATGTGCCTGTTTTTGGCAAACGAATGCGAGATACCTTCCTTTACGTTCCAGCCTTAAGCATGACAATTGAAGGATGCGCTGGCGTATAAATTGCAAAATATAACAAATTATAAATTTTTTTTTTTTTTTTGAGGGTTTCCTGCCTCAAAAGGAAAAAGAAGTCCTAATGGAGTCACTTGATTGTCTGTCTGTTTGTCTGTCTGACCGTTAAGACTCTTTTTCTTAAGAACCCGCTGAAATTATTGTAATATCAAATACTCAAGTCTGCAATCCCTTGGACTTTTGAAAAAATCTAACTTCCAAGGCTCATTTACGTATTATAAACAGTGACCTCCAACTTCCCCATGTTATAATAGAGTGACTTTGACTGAACCCATTCTCCCAATTATTTGTGTTACGTAATCTATAGGCAGCCCTTAGTTTACTTTTTTATTTTTAGAAATTAACAAAGAAAGTCCCCTTTCATAGCATCACCTACAAATAGTAATTTTCCAAGATGTTTCCTTGATTTCTTGACGTGGTTATGGTAGAATGTTAGATTTTGAAAACAGTAAGTACTAGTTATATGTGGTTGAAAATACGCGGAATACAACCACCAAACAGAAAGTTTAAGGCTACCTACTGTAAAAAAATGAATGTTGCATACAAAACGGTCTAATAAAAAAAAATTTTTAGAACTAAATGAGTAGCGTAACGAGTACTTTTTATCGATACCTACCAATTACTTGCTTTAAAAGAATCTGTACCAAAAGCATTTGGTATCGAAAAGAAGGTATCAATTAAGTATTTGTATTTAAATGTATCGTTTCATCCCTATCCGCGCTTGATCAGAACTAAGTTGGGCAAGCAACCACTACAATAACAGTTTCATCGGTTCAATATCACTTGAATTTCGGCAAACGTTTTCCCTTTCGTTTCTATCATAAAGAATTGGGTGAAAAATATTCCTGAGAAACAGAATGCTGAAAAAATCCAATAGGTCACACTGAGTCCAACAGCATCTTGTACATAAGTGAAAACTCTGACCACAATAAAAGCCATAAATGCGCAAAAGCTTGCTGTAATTGTAGAAGCAGCGGCTTTCGCATCAGTTGGGAATATCTCGCCCATGACCGTCCATGGTACCGTGCCAAAGCCGAAATTACATGTGATAATGTAACCAATCATGCAAGCAACAGGTAACCATCCAATACTGCTCACGTCATAGTCATTTTCTTTTAAATAGAAGTAAATCCCTAGTGGCACTTCTGATATGACCATTCCAATTGCTGATGCCAAAAGCAACATCTTCCTCCCTATTCGGTCTACTAAAACAGGGGTAGTAAAACCTGTAGCCAACTGGACTAACCCTACTATAAGGGAAGAAATGTTGGAATCTAAGGAGCCTCCAGAAGCGTTAAAAATATCCGTCGCGGATGTTAAAACAACTTGGATACCCGACAACTGCAGTAAGGCAACCAGCCCCAAACATATTAGTAGGGATTTCCTCAATGCACGGCTTTTTAATACATCAATTATTGAGCCTCTACTATTCATATCGTTTTCCACGTATTCTTTAATTACAGCAAATTCTTTTTCAATTCCTCCTATGTTCGTGCCCCTAAGTTTTGCAAGGGATGATTCAGCAGCAGGAATATTGTTTTTTGAAATAAAATAGTGAGGGCTGTCCGGAAAGAACGAGAACAACATCACGAAAGCGGCAGGAAATATAGCGCAAATTATACTAAACCACATAACCGATATGTAAGGTCCCAACGCGTAAGTAAGTAGTTCTCCACTAACTGTAAAAATATTGAAAAACGACGACAGAGTTCCTCTTATTGATGTTTCAGATATTTCTCCTATGTACATGGGCAAAGCAGCATAAACTACCCCCATACCCAAACCGCCGATCAACCTCGCCACGTAGTATAGAACTGGGGTTTTACTGAATGCCAACATTAAAAATGCTGTTGTCATGGGAATCCCAGATGCGTAAACTAAAGTCCATTTACGTCCAATTCTATCGACAAGGAATCCTGCAATAAATGGTCCAAAAATGGCTCCAGCGGATGAAAGAGATGCTATCCAGGACTGCTGTTCGTCGGTAATAGGTTTATCGAAAGGATTTTCATTCAAAATTCCTGTACTGTTATTCATTTTTGGTAGCACGGGAGATGTCCACGTTAAGATTAGCCCAACGGAGAATGCAGCTAAATTACCTAAAAAATAAGTAGAAAATATTAGCAAATTACCGTACCTGGACTTAACAAGAATTTCTATTTTTATTTACTTTTATATAATGCTTGAGGTTACAGACAAGAATATCATTTTGGCTTTCTAGTATCTGTATGCTTAGTCACCTTTATATGGTGTTTTTTGTTGTTGATGTTGCATCACAGACAGACTAGGAAATAAAGGATAATAAAGCTGATGTTTTCTTTATCGTGACTTTATGTTTAGAGGCATGTCCGTCAAACAAAATTAGTAAAAATAAATAAACAAATTTAGAGAAACTAGCATTTCTAGTACGAACAGAAAACTGCTAACCGGAGTACTATCTGAGCTTTCTACTTTTATAACGCAAGATTCCAATAACACAGAAATTAGGTAGTTACTTTATGAGTAGCAAAATGGGTGGGAAAGGGTAGTAGCCCAGACAATATGGGAAAAATTATTCGGATTAAATTTTTTTACGCAGTTTTGTTCAGAAAATTCTCCTAAATACAACGGTATACGTTGCCAGCCGGTAATCCTGTCGAGTATTGTCTAAATTACGATTGTTTAAAGCTAAACTTCGCATTTCCCTAAAACTAGAACAACCCACAGCCTTAACTATTTGCGAGCAGTAATCTAAGATAGGTCTACCTCTGCACCTCCTAACTCCTATTTCTGCCTCTAATATGTCTCTGACTAGACCTTCATGCCTAAGAAGGTGTCCTAGCAACCTATCTCGCCTATTTTTTATTGTCTTCCATAGAGTCCTCTGTTCTCCTATTCTTTCTAATACCTCTTCATTTCTAATCTTTTCTATCCTCGTTATCCTCATCATTCGCCTATAACACCACATTTCGAACGCTTCTAACCTTTTCTTTTCCGCTGCGCCCACTGTCCATGTTTCGCACCCGTACAGCGCCGTGCTCCAAACATACACCTTTAACAATCTTTTTCAAATTTTTAAATTAACCGTTCGCGAGCATAGAAGCGACTTCTTTTTATTAAAGGCGACACGACCCCGCACTATCCTCTGCTTTATATCCCTATTATTCCTTCTGTCCTGACTTCCTAGATATCTAGAATCAGCCACTTGTAATTTTTCGTCTCCTACCTTTATATTCGCCTTTTCCCTACCTTTTCTTCCCTTGCGTACCAGTATTTTAGTTTTACTTTTATTTATTTTCATCCAGTACCGATCTGTCAGTGCCGCTTCCATTTTATTTAAAGCTATCTCTAGGTCATCCTTGCTGATACTGCTATATCATCTGCAAATCTAAGCATACTAATTTTTTGCCCCTGTATATCTATCCCTACAGCTGTACTGTCTTTAATGATGTTGATGGCGTCTTCGATGTATAGATTAAAAAGTAGCGGTGACGATGTGCATCCCTGTCTGACTCCCTTCCTAATATTTACTTCTCTACGTTGCAGCCCCAGCTCTATAACTGTCTGTTGCTTTTTATATAAACTAAGTATCACTCTTCTCTATTTGTAACTCATCCTTACATTTTTAGGTATATTTAACATCTTGTCCCATTTAACATTGTCAAAAGCTCTTTCTAAATCTACAAATCCTATGTACAGTAAAGCTAAAATGGCCTCCCGCGTTCCTCTATTTCTTCTAAACCCAAATTGATCTTCCCCTAATAGTTCTTCCGCCCTTTTTTCCACATTGTTAACCGTATATTATGTCTAAAATGCATCATTTCCATAAAATTCCCGCTAAATAAATAAATAGGTTGTTGCAGTGTTCTGCGCCATTTTGAATATCTCCGAAACGAAAGCACTCAGGATAATTTGTATACTGTCCATACTATCTGGACTACTTGTGAAGTGTAATCTTAGGTACCTATCGTACTTACAGGACATAACTGCTGCTAGCAGGTATCCTCGATTTTTGAGTCCCTGCAACATCGTCACTTTTTTTCTGTTTATCACCTCAAAGTCAACTAATCAACTTGAATGACTTACTAATCAAATTAAATTGATGCTGTTCCTATCTATTAATTTAACAAATCATTCAAGTATTTTATTTATTAACTTTCGATTAGCGAAATTTTTAGATACCGTATCAGGAAAATCTAAAATGAAATAAAAAATGTCAATTATGTAATTTTATTGTATTTAAATTAATTAAACTTTGAAATGCAGTAAGTCTATTATTATGCACCGCAGACGAGTCATTTTTGTGAGACCATAAATTATCACTAAATAAACATTTTGTATTTTCGTACTATCATAATCCATAAGAAATTGTAATAAATCCAAAGAAAAACTTACCAAAAACTCGACATGTTTTTTTGCTTGTAGCATTTAAAATTGCAACAGCTACACCAGTAGAGATGTTTTTGACGGCACTGCAAATAAACCAATAAAACGACACGGATTCTTTTAAATGTTACTGTTGAGGTACACTATACCGAGTAATAGTGTATGGCTGACTATTGGGTGTTTTATCTACCCTAATATTATATATAAAAGAAATTATGAGTGTCGTCAGCACAGGGCAAAATAGTATTACGTAGTTAGTATCAGCAATTTCTTATGATGAAGTGTACGATGTGTTGCATACCTATTTACAAACAATTCCTTTAAATTTAATTGTTTTCTTTAACATACCCACAGGATGGAGGTCTCTTTTAAGTGCCTCTCGAACAATCTTTTGCACTCGAACTTCAGTTCCTAAAGGCAACTTTTGCAGCAGTAATTGAATAACATGTANGGACGCCGGTTCGATTCCGGGTCCGTCTGCCTTGGTCCAAGTTTTTCTGTGGTTTCCTTGGATCACTTAGGCAAATGCTGAGGCAGTAATATTCCACAGATAATCTTTCATTCTCTTCTGTCTTCATTTCGTCCGTCTCATCTTTCTCACCCGAACCACCACCCACCCATTTCTACAATTCCTGATAGGAGGCTGAAGAGGGCCTTCCGCCCTTCCGACATAGTCCGGTGGGACTGCCCGCCTACCACCATTAGTGGCTGGTGGGAATGAAACACCCAAAAGTTTTTTTTTCTCTACGGAATTTGAATAGAGTAGGTATTTAATTTTTGATTGGCATTTTTTGCATTGAGACGAATGGATGGAGATGGTCCTATTTGAGCCTACAACGGAAAAAGCATCTATCTCCTGTGACGAAACGTCCTTGACCTCTGTACATGCCACACCATTTCCTTTTATATTTTGGATATTTATTACCAAGTTGATTTTATTTCTTCGAGGAGGATCAATTAACTTTCCGTTTGTCTTTTTACTCAACACTGGAGGTTGCGCGTTCGAGATGGAGTTATTATAAAAACGAATATGTATGTAGTGCCGTTCTGTCCCCCCCTTTGGACACAGGGTGGATTGACGCTTCACGCGCCGTGTAATAGAGCCTTTATTTCGTCCGTCCGATGATGATCTATGTGTGTTTACTCTAACAGATTTTATTTTCGTTTGGTAAACGTTTAGTAATTGCACTGGTAGTATTTTAACTATCACTACTTATCGCAATTTTTAATTGGAGTATATTTATTTATGGAATACGATACAATACAGTGGAAAAAAACATCCTGTTGCAATTATCTTGTCAATCAATGAAACTTTATTTTTAAAAACAATTATTTTATTAAATGACTGTAAAAAGTTGAAGCAGGCGACTTCTCTAATCTAGAGACTAATAAGAAGTAACAATTTTATTATTACATAT